CGTCGAAGCCGTTGTAGTAGGGGGCGGCGCACAGGAAACCTTCGCCGGGATCGGCGATGTGCTCGGCGATCTGGTCCAGCATGGGTCCGGCGCCCGGGCCCGTGAGGATGTGGCGCGGCTCGACGGCGTGGACCGGGTTGAACTCGGCGCTGTTGAGGTGGTGGCAGAGGGCGCGGAAGAGGCGCGTGCTGCCGTAGAGCGAGCTGCCGTAGGTGAGGTCGATGGGCTCGAGGTCGAGGTGGTTGCGCAGGTAGGTGAGTAGCTCGGCCGACATGAGGCTGTTGTTGGCGATGCCCATGTTGATGAAGCCGCCCGGGTTGGTTTCGGGGCAGTAGGGGTTCGAGAGCATGGCGTCAAACGTGTCCCAGAAGGGCGTGTGCTTCGAGGCGTGCGAATCGCCGCGCCGCGACAGGGGTGCGGGCTGGTGGGACGTCTCGACGACGGCGGCCGAGGTCGAGGCGTGGCCTTGCTGGTCGTTGGAAGAGTTTGTGGCCGAAACGGTGTCGAGGCCCTCGCCATCGTGGATGCGCAGGGTGCGGAGGCAGTCGGTGGCGGCCTTGGACAGCGAGGCACCGCTATCGGGCGTCTCTCGCCACGTTGCGTCGCCGCTGGCGCTGCCGCTGCCGCCGGGGCATGGCGAAGGCACCGCGAAGCAGAGGCTGCTCGTCACCTCGGGGATGAAGCAGGAGGGGGTGGCGCAGCAGGCCATCGTGGTAGACAAAGTCGGTGGACGAGGTCGATGGGCAGAGTGGGTAGCGTAGAGGGAGGCTGCGGGGTCGGATCAGGAGCGGGTCGAGATGCCAAGTGCGGTGCGGTCCGGTGTATATACTCTGCGGCGATGCCGTGCCCACCACCTCACACGACTGCCATCGCGGTCCCACAGCTCAACCAGTGCCAGACCATACGGCAGGCCAAGCAGGGGACGACACGTAGACGCCCACCGCCTGGCGTGCCTCTAACCTTGCAGCCGGCGGTCTGGCGGCCGAGGGAGGGGCAGAAGAGGGAGGCAAAGGACGACCTTATCGGTCACGCAGGAGGGCAGTTGGCCGACCAAGAGGCCGAACGCGCGAGGTATGGGTTGCAGGTCATGGACGACCGGTACCACCACGGCACGATAGCGGCGAGTACCGTGGCCATGCTGGCGTGGGTGGTGTACCTAGCCGGGGCGGTGCGTGCGGGCGTTCGGGGCGTGTTCCAAGTCAGAGGCAAAGTGTAGGCTAGGCTAGGTGTCGACGGCTCTCGACCCGCCGAACCTAGACTCAGTATGATGGCGCGGCGAGGGCTGGCTGCATCGATATGGGCCCGCCGTCTTTCCTGGCACGTCGGCGCTTTCCCGAGCGTCGAGCAGCCAAGCTCGGTCAAGATGCCGAGAGGCGGGGGGTTCGCTTCCCTTTCCTTTCCACACCATGGCTGCTGTGTGTGTCGTCCGTCGAGTCAAGGCAGAGACACGTACGGTCGTCGAGCCCGCTAATGCAAATAGCCGCGGCAACCAGGTCAAGGCCAGGCCAGGGCCGGCCGGCCAGGCCTTCCATGCCCTGATGGACGGTCAAGGCCGCCGAAGTAGCCGCAGGCTAGCGCGCGTTGCACCTCTGCCTGGCCGCTCAACTAAGGTTGGTCGATGGCCCCCCCCTCCTCAGCCTCCTGAGAGCCAGCGAGGGGTTGAGCGGAGCGTCGAAGGCCCCCCCCCCCCCCCCCCCCTGAGTTACTGGCAATGGAAAGGGAGCCAGCCGTACGCGCATCTCAAGCCAAGCCAGCCACATGCCATGCCACGCCACGCCACGTCCTGGCCGGGCCTGTCCTGCCTTAGCTTGCCGTTCGCGCGCGTAGGTCCTTGGCAGGGGGGCGACGACGGCGACGACGATCCGCCGAAACGGCCGGAGGGGGCCGAGGAGCGAGGGTGTCAGCTGAACACGCACGTCCCGCACCGCAGGCCTTCCTTCCACGTCGACACCCCCGGCCCCTTCCCCCCCCTTTTTGTCGCTCACGAGACCAACACCTCGCTGGCTCGATTGGCGCGCCCCCTCTCCCCCTATTCGACGACGGCATGGACCTCGGCGTACTCAGGATACAATTCCTCGCCCTCTGCGCCGTACCAGAGAAGGTCAGGTGGTGACGGCCGGCTGGAGAGGGTGCGAAGCGACACGAGGCTAACTTAGCACGCAGTCGGTCCTCCTTGTCTGACAGCTCGGCTTGCTTGCCTTGGTTTGGCACTTGGAAAAGTTCCACTTTTGATTCGCTCTTCTGCACTGCGGGGCTTGTTCGCCGCTCTGTGTTCGTGACTCGATATCGTGCGGGCCGCGGGGGACCGCCAGGCCAGGTCAGTGACGTGGAGCCCAATCCTCGCTGGCCTCATTTCGGTCGACGGCACTCTCTCTGTACGAACGACTTGACTTGGCCGGTCGGTTAACGCAGAGCGGCCTTTTCCTTCCTGGTCCCGCACTCTGTGCCGAATGCCGATCCAAACCAAACCACGAACGAACAGCGAGGCGCGGCAGAGATTCGATTCAATCAGAAACAGCAGCGACGCAGCGGGCTAGCAGAGCAGAAGAAATCCAGGTATCAGCGGGACCAGAGAGACACGGAGACGGAGCGAGAGAGAGGGAGAGAGAAAGAGGAAGAGAGAAAGAGGAAGAGAGAACGAGAGAAACGAAGAGAGAGAGAGAGGGGAAGGGGCTACGAGGAAGGACGACCAGGGCGCGGCTGGCCACCGCGACCGCGGTCGACGCGCTCAGAGGGCCTCGCGGCCAATCTCGTGGATCCGCGCAGCGGCCGCCTCGACGCCATCCTGGGCCGCCTGCAGCGCCACCTGGGGCCGGTAGTAGTCGACGGGGAAGTCGAGGTAGCTCATCAGGTCCGCCAGGCTCAGCACGCTCGACGACTTGCTAAACAGCAGCACCAGCCCCACCACCAGCAGCACTGGGATCCAGAACCACATCAGCATCGCATCGTCGCGCAGTGTTCGCTTGCGCCGCGAAGGAGCCGCTGTCGCCGCCGCCGTCGCAGAACCCGCAGGCGTGCCCGCCGTCTTGCCGTCCGTGGCCGCGGCGGCACTGTGGCTGCCGCTGGTCATGTCGCCCGTCGGGGACCTTGAGTGGCCCGCGCGGTGGCCGGACGATGCCGACGACTTCGAGCGGCTGGTCGGCGTTGCAGCACCAGAGAGGGTTGCCGGCCTCAGACCCTTGCTCGCACGCGGAGTGCTGGATCCGCTGCTGCTACCCTGGCCGCTGCCTTGCTCGAGACCAGAGGAGGTTGCGAGCCGAGCGCGCCGTGACGGGCCCTCGTTCTCGAGACCGCCAAGCACGTCGGATCCCTGAGACGGGACCGAGGCATCGACGAGGCTGTCGGCGTGACGGGAAGGTCCAGCACTCGCCTCGCCGGTCGCACCGTCGAGGATGCCACCCGCAGCGCCGGTCGCTCCCTCGGCAACCGACTCATACGCCGGCGGCGGCGAGTAGAGTGGGTTGATCCACATGGCGCTCTCCTCGACGACGCTGCGCCACATCCGGAGCAGCCGGCCCCGCTCCTCGCTCTCCCAGTGCTCCGAGGCGTCGTCGGCGGCCTTGCCCTTGTCCTTGTGATCGGCACCGTCGGCGTTGGACGCACCGTCCGAGGATCGCGTCGACCACGGCATCAGCGGCATCGTCGGGGCCGCCGGCAACGCCAGGTGGAAGACGGGAATGGCCGGCATCGTCGGCATGTGCAGCTGCGCAAACCGGTGCGCCACCGGCCGCGACAGCAGGTTCTTGTTGACCCACTCGACGCCGCTGACCGTGTCGCCAGCTCGGGCAAGCCAGGATTTGAGCGCCGGAAGCTGGTCCTCGATCTGGTCGGACGCCTTCTTCTCGTCCGCAGACCGATGGGTCGCCTTTTCGTCGATCGACGTCGCAGGCGCGCTCGTCGGAGTGGGCTGGACAAGCGCGGGCGCCTCCTCTGCCTCGTCGTCGCTCGCGGCAGACTCGTCGACGCTGTCGTCGCTGTACGAGTCGCGCGCATCGCTCTCGTCGTCGAGGTTGGTGCTAAGGTTGTCGCTGTCGAGGTCGCGATGGTCGTCATCGGGGCTGTCGTCGTCGTCGGGGCTGTCGTCGCTGATGCTGACGCCAGAGTCGTGGTGGATGGCAGCAAAGTCGTGCGCAGAGCCCCAGTGACCGGTCCTCTCGGTGTTAGCCAGGATCATCTCGACATCGACCTGGTCCGTCTCGCGGGCAAGGTCGATCGGGAGCAGGCCGTTGGCGTCCTCGATGCCGTCGCCCGCGCCGAGACGCAGCATAAGGCGGGTAATGGTCACCTTGCCGTGCAAAGCCGCAAAGTGCAGAGCGGTAGCGCCGTTGGCGTCGCGGGCGTTGATCGGGCAGCCGCGCACGACGAGGAACTCGACCAGGCGGTGGAACCCCATCATGACGGCGAGGTGGAGCAGCGTGTGGCCCTGCTTGTTGGCGAGCCGAATGGCGTCGTTGCGGGGGACGCAGTCGGCAGGCAGATCCGAGGCGTCGAGCGGCGCGTCGAGGATCGAGAGGAACTCAATCACCGTGTTCTGGAAGTTGGAGTTCTCTCGACGGCCCACCCTGGCGGCAAAAAGGCCGCTGACGGCATCGCGCGACTGGCTGTGGTCGGCAGCGTGGTTGGCGTGGAAGGGCTGCTCGCTCGGGGCGCTGAACTGCGACGACGCCGCCGCAGGCTGCTGGCCCGATCCGACCACCCTCATGGCCACCTCGCGTGCCGAACGCATCTGGCCGGTCATCTGGAGTCCGACGACCTGCAAGGCCAGCTCCATCAGGGCGCGATCCGTCGTGTCGACGTAGGTGAAGAGCTGAAGCGGACCCGACTCGGGCTTGGCTCGCGTCCCAACGATCTCGGAAGCGCCCTTCAGGCTGACGACGACCGGGCCCGGGCTCGGGCTGGGCGGCAGGACGCAGACCAGAGTGTTGCTGGCCCAGACCTTGGTGTGGGAGGCTGCAACGTCGCCAAAGACGCAGGTGATGCCCTCGACAAAGTTCTCTCCGAGCACGGTCACCTCGATGCCGCCGCTCGTCGGACCCTCGCCGGGGATGAGCTTCGAGATGCGCGGCAGCGGGTGCGGATCCGCGGCGCTGTTGGCGTTGCCGTTGGGCTGCATCGAGGCAAAGTTGGCGAGCTGCGACGGCTCCATCGGCATCGCAGCGCCCCTGTTCTGCGCCGGCAGCGCGGCGGCCGCGGCCATCGCCATAAAGTGGGCGAATTCGGGCCCGTTGGCCATTCCCATCTGGGCGTTGCGGAAGAACTGCTCAAAGTCAAAGTGCGGCACGCTCTGCATGTTTGTTTGCAACGTGCCGGGCGAGAGGGACCCCTGCTCGAGGTGCGCCTGCAGCATCTGGGGAAGCTGCTGCAACTGCTGCATCGTGGCCGTCTGCTGGAGCTGCTGTTGCTGCTGCATCTGCTGCATCTGCTGCACCTGCTGCACCTGTGGCACCTGCTGCACCTGCTGTTGCTGCTGCGGCACCGCGAGCCCGGCGCTCTGGGAAGTTGCCGAAGGCGCAGGCGATTCGCTCTTGACGGTCGAGACGCCGCCGGGAGTCGTCACGCCGGCGCTGGCGCCGCTGCCCGCATTGATCTGCCCTTGCCCGTTGGCGGACCCGGCCAGCGCAAAGACGTTCCAGAAGTCAGACGAACCCATGTCTGCCGGGCCCGGAGGTGGAGAGAGGCCGGTGGCGGGCGTAGTCTGCCCGGTGCCAGGGTGCGAGGGCGTCATGCTCAGGTCCATGCCCGACGTGTTGCGGCGGCGGCGGCTGTCGGCGTAGGGCTTAGCGCGTTCCTTGCGACGCTGGACGCCGTCTCCATTGGGCGTGGTGGTGCCACTGACGCCTCCGTGCGGCGGGCTCCTGCCATCGTCGCCTTGAGACGTCGAGGCGCGCGGGCTCGCCCCATTGACCTGCTTGACCACGCCCTGGGGCTGGTGCGAGGCCTGCGCCTGGCCGGCGTTGGCTGCATTGGCAGCTGCTGCCTGCGCAGCGATGCCCATCGATTTGTGGTCGTCGGTAATCATGATGGGCGGCGTCGACCCGGTCGCGACGAGCCTGCCCTGCCAGTCTCGCATGGTGAAGATGACGCAGAAACCAGTCTTCTCCTTGTGGTGGCGGCAGTAGCAGGTGATCCGCGTCGGCAGCACCGCCTCGCCCTCCTCGAAGTCGACAAAGTCGCCGCAGTTGAACAGGACAACCCGCTTCTTTTCCTCCTCCTCCATTCGCGCCGTCGCCCTTTCCACGGCGTCCGGCGATGACGGGTCGATGCCGAGGCTCTTCATCTCCTCGGCCGTCGGCTGCAAGTCGACGGGCGCCCCGGGGTCCTTTTTCCGGTGCGCCCGCTTGCGCTCGCGCTGGCGGCAGCCCTTGCAGACGTACACGCGGTCGTGGGGCGGGGTGGCGTTGACGACGGTGGCATCGACGAACAGCGTGTTTTCGGGCGGGACGTCCATTCGCTGGTACTTTTTCGACTTGCGCTTGGTGCCGCTCAGCGGTGGCAGCTTGATGTGGGTGAAGGAGCCGATACGATCCCAGGAGGGCTCAGCACGGGAGCCGTCGGGATGCGCCATCGGCCTCGGCTGCACCAGCTCCAGCCTCATCCGAATCTGGGTCTCGACTCGAGACTTTGCGCCGTGCATGGGCACGCCGTGGACATGAACCTGGAGGTCCTTGAGCTGCTCGCGCGGCGGGCGGATGACGGTGAAGGCCGAGTAGCCGAGATCGGCGTCGAGATTGTTGCTGTGCACGGCAGTCTGGCAACCGTGCCTCCTGGCGCTGACCGCCGTCGGGGCCGTCGCGGCGGGCTCGCCATCAGGCTTTTGCGCCTTGCCCTTGCCGGACTGCCGCCGCGCGCTCTGCGAACCAGAGGCCTTGGCCTTGGCGTCTTTCGAGGCCTTCTGCGCAGCGCCATTGGCAGCGTGCTGTAGCTGGCCGTTCGCCGGGGCCGACTGCGAACCGCCGCTGTCCGACGCCTCGGCGGACGGCGGCCTGTGGGCAAAAAGCGTTTGGAACACGACAAAAAGAGTCAATCGACGTGGACCTCTCGGGAAGCAGATGCGGGTGCAGAACATGCTTCTACTCACCCAAAGCTCTCGGCCTGGATCAGGGATTCAAACATGGCCTCGTCATCATCGCTCGTCTTGCCCTTCCATGCGTTGACGTCGGGGTTGTCTCCGCCGTTGGGCAATGGATGCTCGCTGCCAAAGGTCGAGGCCGGCTGGCCATCGATGGCCGAGCCAGCACCGACCTTGACGTCGGATCCGGCTGGACTTCCGGCGGACCCCGCGCCTCCCGTCGCTGCCGCCATCGACGTGCTGTTCAGCAGTGCGCGCTGCTGGATGGTGGCAATGGTGGCGGGTGACTGTGCCGAGAGCGGTGAGAAGGCGGTGTCGGTGCCAGCAACGGAGTCCATGTCCATGGAAAAGTCGTCGTCCTGCGACACGCTGAGCCCACTGCCGAAGCTGCTGTCCCAACCGGCGAAGCTCATCGAGTCGACGGATCCCTTGCCTGCGGGGAAAGAGTCGGGAGCGGTATGGGCCTGGAAGCCGCTCTTGTAGAGGCCAGGCGCGTCGTCTGACCAGATGCTGGGTGAGAAGCCGCTCTCCGAAGCCGAAATTGCAGCGAGGCCGAAGGCACCCTTGCCGCTGAGGGTCGACGACGACGAGGCGACCAGCGGCTGCTGTCGACCCTGGTGAGCGCTCTTTGGCACGCTGCCGTGCCTGTCGTCGCCGGTGGAGACGCTCGAGGCCGGGCTGCTGGCGGTGGTCAGGCTGGGTGGCGATGTGTTCTGGCCGTAGCTCTGTGGATCAAAGTCGGCTGGTGCGGCGACGAAGCTAGACGACATGGCATCCAGTGGGCAGCTGCAGAAGAGGCGATGCTAGCTCGCAGGCGACGCGACGAAGCCCCCTTCGGATAGGTGCTGCACCTGATTGAACTGATGGTTGGTCGTCAGAGAGGCCGTGTCGGTGCAGCAGGAGAAGACGGAGGCGCTGCACCAAGCGCGGTGGGCGTAAGCAGCGATGTGTCGGAAATGGGCAATGGATAGAGAGATCTGTTGGCGATGCAATACTCTTCGATTGGCCCAAACAGACCGCCAGGGTAAGTGACTCGAGCAGAGTGCTGGCACGTGTCGGCAGAAGGGTGTGTCGGGGATCTGCCAAAGGGGGGCCAGTGGTGAGGATCGAAGTAGGCGGGCGGTGAGTCGTGATCAGGAGATGGTATGGGTTCGGTGGCAGGTGGACGACGTCGAACGGAACTGAGCGTAGACGAAGCCCAAGAGTCAGGTCAAGGCAAGTGGCTGCCGCACACGGAAGGCCGAGATCTGTCGGACGGCGTGGGAGCTCGAGGGCCACTGGCGTAAGTCGAGGTGGCGGTGATGGCGATTAGGATGGTGTTGGCGGTGGCGATGGCGGTGATGACTGTGTGTGGAGAGGCAGGTCGATGATGAGAAGGTCGGAAGAGGGGCCGCTCGGTGCGTGGGAAGGGGCGCAGCAAGTGTCGCGGCACGGTGGTCGAGGAGAGGTGAAGAGGCGCCGGGGGGAGGCGGCGAGGAGAAAGCCACACAGTAGTGAGCAGCCAGACGGCGCGGAGTGAGCCAGAGAGGAGGGGGGGGAGGCGAGAGAGAGAGAGCGACAGAAGCAGAGGCAGGGCAGCAGCCAGATGCGCGCCCGCCCAAAAAGAGTCTGGCCGAGGCCAGCCCAGGCCAGCCCAGGCCAGCCCAGGCTAGGCGCCCCGGAGGCTGTGGCCATGTGCCCGCCGCTCTTGAGCCCACGCACTTTTTTCTCCCTTGCCTGCCCTCGGTTGGCCGTGCCAGACAGGCCACGCATTAAGATTCTCTCACCCAGCCCGCGAGGCAAGCAACCTTTGGGTGCCCACACGCAAACTGTACGCCCCGCCTGGCCGTTCCCAACTTGCGCCGAGCGACACACGGACTGGCGGGCGAGTCAGGCTTGCCCGATTGCACCTTGCTTCCAAACGTGCCGCCCAGCGGCGGCCCCGGCTTGCTGCTTGCTTACTGGGCCTGGCCACAGAGGCGGGCGCTCCTACCCTTTCTTTGGCGGAGCGTCGACGCCGGCCTGCCGTCAAGTCGTCGTGAGATGACCCGCGGTCACCATCATCACCACCACGACCACTACTACTGCTGTCGGCACCACCTGGTCTGCATGCCCCTCTGCTGCGCAGCGCACATACAGCAACACGCAGGCTAGGCTGTATGTACGAGCACGTCGGCTGGCCTGACCGTTGCACGCCGGCGCGACCAGGAGGTAGGTATGTAGGTGATGACTGCCTGGAATTCACAACGGCCGGCCATTCACCCTCTTCTTACCTTCAGCCTGCTTGCTCGCTCCCGCCAGCCACGCGTTGCGAAGAGTTGACCGACCGACCGAGCGAGATCCGACGTCGGCGTGCGTCCTCTGTCCAATCCCCCCCTCTTTTGAGGTAGGCGGGCAGGCGGGGCGCGCAAGAGTGTGGTGAACCATCAGCGACCGTGATCGCATCCCGAACACCTGCTGTCTTTGTGCGTTTGCCGCTCGTTGTCTCTTGCCATCACCACATTGTCCTGCGGCCGGCGGGCTGTACGTGGTCGCAGCGGTGGCATAGCATAACTACCAAGCTGTGCCGGACGACGGGGCAGCGTCGGCGACACGTACGGTCCTCACAAACGCACGACGTGCCACGCCAAAGCCCCTCCCCGCATCGTTCCACGACGGGAAACTTTGGGGAAGGGGCGTGGCGAGGCGAAGAATCGGCTGCCGTGTGCCAAAGACCTGATATTTCAGAGTAGTGTGTTGCACTTTAACGGCGCGGAGAAGGGCGATTAGTTTGGCACAAGCTCGGTTGCGATGTACGTGCATGCAAGAACCCGAGGTCTTTCAGCGTTGGCAACCGTTTCCGCTTTGCCGACTCCGTCGGACGTGTTGGCTCGCTCACCCGCCTGTGTGATATCGGGAAGGTCCTGCCGCTGCGTGGGAAGGGCACAGCTTAGCTTCTGCCCGTCGCTCGCTCCGTCGTTCCGTCGTTCGTTGTTCGCGGGTCGTCGGGAAACGGGGCGCGTGCGTGTGAGGATCTCATGCCGATCCGGCCGTGCATTGCCTATCGATGCTCGGGTTCCGCCCTGCCTCGTTCTTCTTGGCGGCGACGGGACCACGTCGAGCAGCGGCAGCGGCAGCGGCAGCACCATCGCCATTGCCACCTTTTGACCGTCTCTTCCGCAATCGCATGGATCGCGACGGAGACGGCTAGAACCAAGGTAAGTCATGAACGCTGAGGACGAGGATCATGCTTGCTTGCGCGCCCATCGTCGAAACCTTCCTGCCGTCCCTTTGTGCGCTCTCTCGCGAGAGGAAAGAGGAGTCAAAGCGAGGCGGGCGCACAACGAATGAACCTCGACTCGACTCGACGCGACGCTACCGCCGGTGGCCTGGCAAGTGAAGGGCTGCCGCGTCGAGGTGTCGTCCCGTCCGGGCATCGCATACGGCTTCCCGGCTGCGCCACATCTGCAGTACTACAGGCAGTATACGCTCGCGCCCCTCCTGCACAGCCGGGCCACGCCGTACCCTCGGACCCCCTAGCCTCCCGCTCGATAGCCTGCTTGCTTACTGATCGGTGAGCCATCGTCCGTGTGTCCACTCAACAGATCAGAAAGGCCTGCCTGTGGCCGATTGGTGTCCTGACAATTCTGCGTCCATGGACAAGGCTAGCATGCAATGGAAAGAGGGCGGAGCAAAGAGGACGAGTGCGGACGAGGCTGGGCTAGATAGAGTACAACATGGTAACGAGGGTCCGGAGCGGGGGATCGAGGGGAGCGACAGGGTATCGACGGGGCGAAGAGGATGGGGTTCCAACGCGCCCCCTCTCAGACGCCGGTGCGCGTGAGGGCCTTGCGCTGGTTCGAGAAGCGGATGACGTCGCGCTTCTCGAGGATAAAGAGCGTCTTTTCGAGCGAGTGGTTGGTGTACCCTTGGCTCTCGACAAACTCGTGCCTCAGCTTGGCGTAGCTCGTGCTCCAGCCGATGGGCAGCCGCCGGCGGATCTCGCGCTCGAGCTTCTGGCACTCTTCGGCCAGCTCGCCGCGCGTCATACCCTCGACGTTGCCCGCCTGCACCGCGTCCATGGTCGAGAAGCGGAAGAGGCGGATGGCCTCGTCGACGTGCTCCTCGCGCACCGTCGGCTGCAGCGTAATCTTGGCCAGCGACTCGGACATCCGGATGATCGCCTCGAGCTGGCGCACCGTGATCGGGATCGACGACCGCTCGTCGTTGTCGCGCTCCACCTGCGCCACCTGCTTGCGCAGCGCCACAAAGTGAGAAGACAGTTTCTCTGCCGCCTCGGGCGACAGCCGCGGCGCGCAGCGCGCCTTGCAGAACGACACGTAGCGCTTCATCTGGTCAATGTCGATCTCGCCCTGCGCCGCGTTCTGGGCATCGGTGGCGCGGTTCATGTGGATGTTCATGACGTGCTTGGCGATGGTGCGGTCGCGCTGCTCGTTGTGCTCGTCCTTGACGATAAAGATCATGTCGAACCGGCTGAGCACCGTCGTCTGGAAGTCGATGTTCTCGCCGGGCGACTTCATGTCGTCGTACCGCCCAAACACGGGGTTGGCCGCCGCCAGCACCGAGGTGCGCGAGTTGAGGATCGTCGTGATGCCCGCCTTGGCAATCGAGATTGTCTGCTGCTCCATGGCCTCGTGGATGGCCACGCGGTCCTCGTCGCGCATCTTGTCAAACTCGTCGATGCACACGACGCCGCCGTCGGCCAGGACCATGGCGCCGCCCTCGAGGTAAAACTCGCGCTGCGAACAAGCAACCGGCAGGGGAGTGCGGAAGGGCGGAAGGGCAGGCGTCAGTGCACGCTCATCGCACCGGTCGCATCGGCCGCATCGGTCGCCCCGCCCCAACACGCCACGTCTTGGCAGCGACTCACCGTTTGGGCGTCCCTCTGCACCGAGGCCGTCAGACCGGCCGCACTGCTTCCCTTGCCCGAAGTGTAGACCGAGATGGGCGACACCTTTTCGACAAACTTGAGCAGCTGCGACTTGGCGGTACCCGGGTCGCCGAGGAGCAGCACGTTGATGTCGCCACGGAGGCGCATGCCGTCCGGCAGCACCTTCTTGGACCCTCCGAAGAGGAGGCAGGTGATGGCCTTCTTGATGTCGTTGTTGCCAAAGATGCTCGGCGCGATGCTGGCGGAAAACTTTTCGTAGAGGTCCTTTGTGCGCGCCATCCTGGAGAACTCCTCCTCCTCTTCTGCGCTAAACATCCGCGCCATGCCGCGGCCGGCGGCGCCCTCGGCGTCGATTTCGAGGCCGACGACGCGGAGGTACGGGGTGCGGAGGGCGACGGCGCCGCCCTGCTTGCCCTTGCCGGCCTTGCTGCTGGTAAAGGTGGAGTAGACGCCCGTGGCAATGATGCGGGACCCGGGCACCACCCTGCCGCAGAGGGCGCGGTCGACCGAGAGGAGCATGTGGCGGGGCAGCTCACCGACGGGCACCATGTCGGGCGCCTCCTGGAGCTTGACGGTCTGGTTGTCGACGAAGCGGCAGCGGTCGTGGATGATGACGTAGGGGTCGGTGGAGCACTTTGGGCTGCTGGAATCGAGCTTGGTGGCGTCGCAGTAGCGGGGCAGGGTGAAGCCGCCGAAGCCCGAGGTGATGGGAAGCGCCTTTGTGGAGCGGCAGTCGCGGCACATGATGTGGAGCTGGGTGGCGCGCGAGGTGAGGGTGGTTGCGCCGATGACGATGCCGGGCACACGGACGAGGTGTGAGATGCTGTCGGCGTGAAGGTCACGCATGCCGGTGAGGTTAGCATGGGAGCGGAGGGTGACCTGGCAGTCGGGAGCCTCTGGACGCTGCTGGCCGGGTGCAGTGACGGGGTAGAGGATGGCGCGGGCGGCGCGCTTGACGGCCGACTCGAACTGCGACGGTGGTGGCGATGGTGGTGAGAGAGGAGGATCAGGGCAGGTGTCAGCTGGCCAGCTCGCAGCGAGGCCGGCTGACAATCTTGGAGAGAGAGAGAGAGGGCACACACCAGGGGGAGGATATCGGCGGGCGTCTCTCTGAGGGCGTGTGCGAGGTTGTTTGACCATAGCTGTACGTGCTCGAGCTGTACGTCGAGGAGGTACTGCTTTGCGAGGAGGTTTGCGCGGAGGCGGTCTCGGTAGATGTAGTCGTTGCCGGTGCGGAAGCTCTGGACAAAGTTGAAGAGGGTCTGCTCGGTCTGGGCGGGCGCCTCTGGTGCTCTGGACGCCTCAGAGCCTGCCAGCGCCTGGGCCGAGTAGACGCGGCCAGAGTCGAAGCCGGACATGGTGCGGGGGGAGGGGGGTGAAGGTGGGACGAGAGAGAGTGTGTCTGTGCGATTGGACAAGGTGCGGGTATGAAGTCGACGATGGTGCGGGGCTAGGAGGGGCGAGCGAAGGAGGGATGTTGGTCGTTGTCTGGGTAGCCCTCTTGCCTCGCCCCCTGGCTCTCACCCACCGCCTGCCTCTCTGGCCTGTCTGCCCGCTGTTGAAGTGTTGCGATGCGAGCCTCGTTGCGCCCGCCTGCCCGCCTGTCCTCGCTGGCCTGGGCTGGCTGGCCTGCAGTTTACACGACGCGCGCTCCTCGATTCGTGAACCAATTAATCTACGCCAGGGTCGCGTTCCCACAACGGGCGCGCTCCAGGCGGGGCCGGGGAGACTGTCGGATCCGCAGGCAGACCATTGGCGGGGAGGCGGCTATTCGCGGCAAAGGCGGTGGCCTGCGCCGCTAGAGCTGGATTTGACCGGCGTCGGGCTGGCGGCTCAGTCGTTCCTGGACGCTTCGCATGGCGCGGTCCCTCGCCGGCCCGCCTCGCCGAACCCTTCCTTTGGGGTGCTCATTTCGTCGTCCGGACATCGTCTTCAACAAGGTTCGCTCAAAGTGCCCCCACCCCCGACGTGACTCCAGGCTGGTCCCTCCGTCTAGCCGTCGTCGACACGATGCTACAAAGTGGACGCTGAGCTGGCCCACGGTCCCCATCTCGCCCTCCTCCTCGACCACCACCACCACCACCACCACGCTCCCTCTCAACCCCGCGTGCATCTGCGGACCTCCGTCCCGCATCGGATCCTCTTACCAACGGCATCTCGGACCGCGCACTCAAAACCGCGTCGCCCACGATGGCATCCCTCGACCACGCCTCGGGCCTGCCCCCGGCCCTGCGCAGCAGCCACCTCGGCGGCGACGGCGGCGGCAAGAGGCTCGGCGCCATCCTCACCCCGCCCCGCTACAGCGCACGCACCCGCACCATCCTCTCGCTCCTCGCCATCGCCGGCAACACGATCCTCATCACCTTTTTCAACGGCGCCATCACCGTCGCGCTCCCCTCGATTGCCAAATCCATCGACATGCCCCAGAACATGCTCTCCTGGCCCCTCGCCATGTTCTCCCTCACCTCGGGCGCCCTCCTCCTCTTCTCGGGCGCAATGGCCGACGCCTTCGGCCGCAGAAACGTATTCCTCTGCGGCAACGTCGTCTTCTTCCTCCTCTGCCTCGCCATCTCGTTTGTCACCACCACCGACGCCTTTATCGGCTGCTGCGCCGGCCTCGGCATCGGCGCCGCCCTCCTCATCCCTGCCGGCGTCGGCATCCTCGGCAGCTCCGTCCCCGAGGGGAAAATGAAGAACCAGAGCTTCGCCATGCTCGGTGCAGCTCAGCCGACAGGTACGTCTCGGTTCAAATCCGTCCTCGTCTGCTGTCCTCTGGATCCAATCTACTTCGGCTGAAGCGTGGCCTCTTGCCGTCCCTTGCCCTTGCCGGCGCGCCAGGCTTCATCATCGGTCTTATTCTTGGCGGTCTCCTCTCAAACCGCTGGCAGATCATCTTCTGGGTGCTCACCGCCTTTGCCGTGGGCTTCGGCGTGTGTGCGTTCCTCGGACTGCCCGGCGACGACGAGAAGCTCCTCTCGCCATCGTCGTCGACCGCCGACCTCGTCGGCCAGATTCACACCCCACGGCACGGCGACAGCACCCTCAGCAGCGCAGTGCCGACTGCGGCCATGGCAAGCGTCACGAGCCTGCCCATGGCTGCCCGCGGCGCCGCCGCCTCCGATGTCCCGCTCACGGCAACGAACGGCGAGAGCGTCCGATCGCTTCGGCTCAAGACGTTTGACTGGTTCGGCGCGGCCATGTCGACGACGGGCCTCATTATGCTCACCTTCGCCCTTGCCGATGCCGAGTCGGCGCCGAGCGGCTGGAGGACGTCGTACGTCATTGCCCTCATTGTCGTCTCCCTCTTCCTCCTGGCCGCCTTCCAGGTGTGGGAGCGCCGCCTTGAGCGGCTGCAGAGGACCTACGAGCTGGGCTCGTCGGGCACCGCGCATCTGCCCGTCCGCAACGCGACCTTTATCCGTGGCCCGCCCACGGCGCCGCTGCTGCCGCCGGCCATCTGGCGCGCGCCCAAGTTTGGCGCCGTGATTGCCGTCGTCTTTCTGGCATGGGCGGCGTTCAACGTGCTCTCGTACTTTTCCACCCTCGTCTTTCAGGAGGTGCAGCGGCAGTCGGCCATGAAGACGTCGCTCCTCTTTCTGCCCATGATTGGCGCCGGGCTGGCGTGCAACGGCTTCACGGGCCTCGTCATGGGCCGCGTCAATGCCCTCTGGCTCATTGTCGCCGGCACCGCCCTGGGCGCCGCCGCCGCGCTCATCATGAGCATCGGCGTCGATGCCACCACGCCCTACTACAAGGGCATGCTCTGGGTCATCATCTTCCAGGTCGGACCGGATCGTGAGTGTCGGGGATGCGTCTGCCGTTCGTTGGGCTCGAGTAGCCTCGCCTGCCGACCTCCCCTCGGAAGAAAAAGAAGACGGACTGACCTTGCACTCCTCTGGTTCCTCCCCTCCCTCCCCCTCCCCCGCTCTTGCCGGTGATGCGATCGCCACGCCTGCAGTCTTCTTCCCCGCCGGCAACCTGTACGCGTGCAAGTCGCTGGGACGACAGCACCAGGCGCTAGCCGGATCCCTCTTCAACACGACGGTGCGCGTCGCCACCTCGCTCGGTCTCGCCATTTCGTCGACGATCGCGACGGCCGTCACCAAGATGCACTCGCACGCCCCTTCCCCCGCCGCACCGATGCTGGAGCGGCGTGGCGATGCGGTCGCGTCGTCGCCCTTTCTTCTCCTAACGCGTCGTGCCGCATCCTCGCCGATGGGGGAAGGGGTGTATACGATCGAGGCACTCATGAAGGGCTACCAGGCAGCGGCGTGGTTCTGCTTCGCCTGCAGCCTCCTCTCGATGGCCGTCGCCTTCGCCTACCTCCGCAACATTGGCATCGTCGGCGACCTCGAAACCAAAGAGGAAAAAGCCATCGAACTGTCCCGGCCGTCGTCGCCGGCGGCGTCGGGCCCGGCGTCGGCGAAGTTGGCGTCGGGATCGCAGCACTCTGCGCCTCCCCTTTCCAAGGATGTCGCCGCTGTCGTTGTCGCCGACGAGGACGGGACGAGGGCGGTGGAGAAAAAGGAGAGGAGGCATGTCGATCCCGCCCGCAGCAGGTGACGTCCTCGTCCGCCGTGGTTTTAGGACCTACTAGCTGTGCTGCTGCACCCTTTGCTCGCCTCTCTGCATACACATAGATGTCTCGCTCCTCTGCGTGTGATCCTTGGCGCGGGTGGGCCAGATTCGGTTGACAGGACGAGACGCCTCGAGGCAGGGTTCGCCTCTCAACGTCCAATGGGCGCATCGGCGGGTACGTCCGGGTAGAATCCGTGGAAATCCCTGTGTGGCAGCGGCAGTCGCAGCAGCAGCAGCGAGACGGGTCTCGGTCAGCATTTGAACCTTGTGACGACGTCTCAACGAGGAACAAGGGAGGGTGGGACGTACCAAGACACGCGATCCTCTCCGCCCATCTGGTGATACATCTGTCGAGCCGTCAGCAAAAACACATCGTCGTCGCCACCACCTACCATACCCTCCACGTCCACGTCCTCGCCGCCGATGCCGGTGTCGGTGTCGGTGTCAGCGCCTCGATCGAAAAGACCAGGGAGGCACAGTGCCCTTTTGCCCGTGTCGTCTTCGGCGGGCGGGAGCGACGAAATGTGGTGCGAGTAAAAGTAGAGGGCGCGTACCGCTTTCGGTAGGTGCTGCAGTCCGCGAGGCGGGAGCGGGAGCGGGAGCGGGAGAGGGGCGTTGGTCAGAGTGACGGTCCGGGATCGCGTCGGCCAGTCTCTCACGCTCTCCACTGCAAAGCACGCACGCACGCGCGCACGGCACACCGGCATCGATCAGAGGAAGACGGGGGAGGGGCCGGAATCGGGACGGATACGCACCTCGTCGTCGTCGGCCCGGGCCATTCCAAAGATACGCTCCCACCCGACGGCGGCGGCGGCGTCCGACTCGGCCTTCCAGTTGGCCGTGCTGAAGCGCGGTCGGCCCCGTGCGATCCAGAAGTAGAGGAAGTAGCGCACCACGCCGCGCAGGTACACCTGCTGGCTCTCGCGCGACAGGAGCGGCACAACGGTGCGCGTGTAGATGTGCGCGTTGTTGGCGTGCATCCTGCCGAGCGAGCGAGAGGGGGGGAAAGAGGAGGCCGGAAGAGGGATGGAAAGGCCCGGTTAGGGAGCCACGATCGTCGTCTCTCGTCTGTTACGATCTGCGTGCTGTGGGGGCGCTCATCCTCACAGGAAAAAGTCGTGCTTGTAGTACTTTCCCTGCTTGGGCACGGCGCCGAGCACGAGCACAGAAAACCACGCCAGGTCGGCAACGACGGCGTCCAGATCGATGTCCTTGCCATCGGCTGCGGGGCCGGCGGTCAGGGACCAGCGGTCGGCGTAGTCGTTGATGAGCCCGACTGCCTTGCCGCCTTGCTCGAACGGCTCGTCGGGCAGGCCCGAGTCGTTCTGCGTCAGTCCGAGCGCCTCGGGCGACAGGCGGTCGTCGTCGAGCATCTCCTTCATCAGCGGGACCAGTCGCTTGGCAGAGGCCGGGTCGGCGAGGTTGCGCTCGGTCCAGCCGGGCGGGAAGAGGTGCTGGTGCTTGAGGCCCGTGCTCGTCGTCATGGCGAGGCCTGCGAGGCGAGGAGCAGAGGCGTCAGTACCACAGTCTCTGGCAACGCCCCTGTGCGCTGGCCCGGCTCACCTTCGGCAGCAATGGGGAGCAGCTGGAACTCGGCGCCGTAGCCAAAGTGGATGAGACCGTGAATGACGCCGCCCAGGTAGCGGGCGAGCATGTGCCTGCCGTCCTTGTTGGCCTCGTCGCTGAGGACAAGATGCTCGAGGCAGCCTCCGAGGCCGCGAGACTCGAGCTGCTCTCGGAAAAAGTGCAGGTAGGACCAGTAGTACCTCGGATTGCCGAGGTGGTCGGTCCAGTTGGCCGAGGTGATCTTTTCAATCCTGGCCCGCTGCGCTGCGGCGGCATCCTGCTCGCCCTTGGCGGCTCCCGCGGGACTGGCGGGGTCCTGGTAGTACGGGTCGTACCTGCTGCGGTCGCCGAACTTGTAGCCGGTGGCGAGGTCGTGCGTCAGCTGGTACTCGTAGTGGGCGTCGAGCTGCTCGGCGGTTGCGCCGATGGCGTAGTCGGCGAGGATCTGGTGGGCCGAGTGGTTGTGGAAGCCCTTGTCGTTGAAGAACTGCGAGCGAGCCAGCGGTCAGGGGAGGGGACAAGCTGAGCTCTCCTGCAGGGGGTTGAAGGGTGATGCTGGAGCTCTCTCTCAGAGGTCTAGGACTCACGCAGTGATGCTTCTGCAGTGACGGTCGGAGAATGGCGAGGACGGTCGGTCGGCGTCATCGGGGATGGTCAGCGGACATGCAGAGTGCAGCAGACGAAGCGAGGAACCGGCTGGTGGCGGGTCCTTACTTCATGGTTGTGGTTGAGAATCTGTGCGATCTTTGTGCGCACATCGTCGCCGCGCTGGAAGCCGGCAAACACCTCGAGCTTGGAGGGCGACGGGGTGAAGGCCTTGGTGGCCGGGTCTTGGTTGTGGTTGGCGGCGGCGGCGGCGGTCGACATGGTGGCGCGTGCAGCGGTGATGGGGGAGATGGCGGAAGAAAGGAGGCGGTGCTGGATGTGGAGCTTCGAGAGGGCAGTTGTGGCCATGCGAGAGGCTGCGAGGATGGGTGTCGGTCGAGGTGGACTCGAGAAGAGAGAGGGGCCCAGGTGCGTTGAGCTGGCCGAGGGAAGAGAGCGGCGAGGGCTGACGAGGCCGAGGGGGCGCGAGGATGCCGTTGCAGTTGCAGTTGAGCGGGCGACGGCGGCCATGAGAAGCGTGGCGTGGCCTTGCAGAGGGATCGAGGTGGTCGAGGAGTGGGGGAGCAGCAGATCGAGGCAGGCGGCCTGCCTAGGACCTTAGCTCCGGAGGGCCACGCACGACCTGACCTTGCTCTCGGCGTCGCTCGCTGCTGAGCCCAAGCAAGCAAGGCTAGGCCTCCACCTCTCCCTGACGCATGCAGGGTCCAGCCATCCTCTGCTCTGGTACACACGGGCCGCACGCACGCTTCCACTGCGCTCCCCATCATCCAACCTCGTCTCCGCAGTCAGTCGTCGACGTCGGCTTTGGCTTAGACGGCCGTCTGATCTATGCACGCTCAAACAGAGTAGAGTAGCGCTACGTTGGGGACAACAGACAACACGGCAGCGCACCCACGCCGGGCTGGCCCGCCGGCCTAGACGCCCTTGGCCGCCTTGGCAGCGGCGACAAAGGCGCGGATCTTGTCCAGGTCCTTGCGCCCCTCGGACTCGACGCCGCTCGAGGTATCGACGCAAAACGGCCTCGCCGTGCCAATCGCCTCGGCCACATTCGACGGCGTCAGGCCGCCAGCGAGCATCACGGGCATCGGCCTCGCCTCGGTGCCCGCAACCACCTGGGCCACCGGGTCGGAATCGCGGATGCGCCGCGCGATGCCCCAGTCAAACGACACGCCCGTACCCCCATCGGCGCCCCCGCCCGCTCCCGTCGCTCCGGCGGGCAGCCCGCCCGAGGCAGCAGCGGTGCCCGCCGTATCCAGCGCGGAAATGTGGTGGTACCCTCCGCGGCGCACCTCGGCCAGCGAGCCGTAGCCCTCCTCGGCATCGCCGCCGACGTGGAAGACCCGGATCACGATCAGCCCGGGCAGGAACTTGGCCCACTCGATGTTCTCGGTGCGCCCGTGCAGCTGGACGCCATCCAGGCCCAGCACCTCGGCCGTCCGCTGAACTTCTTCGAGGGCCTGGTCACGGAACACGCCGATGATGAGCGGCTTGCGCGGCGCACGGCGCAGCTTGGACACCGTCGTCGAGAACCAGTCCTGCGGCGACACGCTGGCGGTCGGCGCGGCAGCGATAGCAGCGGGCGTCGAAGAAGGAGCAGCCTCAACAGACTGACCCAGCGAACGGACCGCCTTGATAATCTCGGCGGCCTGGACGAGGTCGACGGTGCGCTTGGTGCCGGGGGCCAGGATCATGCCGAGCATGTCGGCGCCAGCCTGAGCAGCAGCGACGGCAGCCTCGGGCGTGGACAGGCCGCAGATCTTGACGAGCGGCGTCAGGTCCTCGTCGGGCACGCCAGCCGCGCCCGTGCCATAGCCCAGCGTCTGGGTCGCCGAGCTCGACGTGGGCAGGCCAAGCAAGTCGTGGATGAAGGCCTTCTTGTCCTTGGCCCGCATCAGCGCCTCGCCGACCAGCACCGCGCCCACACCCTCGCCAATGTACTTTTCCACATCGGCCCGGCCGCTGATGCCGCTGAGGGCGCACAGAATCACGCCGCCCTTGGCCGCGGCGTCGGCGAGGCGCGATGTGGTGCTCATGTCGACGACAAAGTCGTGCAGGTTGCGGTTGTTGACGCCGACGACCTTGGCGCCGATGGCGAGCGCGCGGTTCATCTCGTCCGGGTTGTTGACCTCGACCAGCGGCTCCATGCCCAGCCGGACGCTGTAGTCGTAGAGCGTCTTGAGCTGCGCGTCGGTCAGCATCGCCACAATCAACAGCACCGTGTCGGCACCGGCCAGGCGCGCCTCGGCGATCTGGTACGTGTCGATGATGAAGTCCTTGCGCAGGATCGCCGGGCGGTCGGGCAGGTTGTCGATGGCCCGGCGCGCCAGCGAAAGGTCGTGCAGCGTGCCTTTGAACCACTTTGGCTCGGTGAGCACGCTGATGACGCTGGCGCCGCCGCGCGCGTAGGCGAGCGCCTGGGCGCCGGCGTGGGCCGTCGGGTCAATGTCGCCCTTGCTCGGGCTGGCGCGCTTCATCTCGGCCATGACGCCCGGCAGGCCCTGGGCGGCGTTGCGGGTGAGGCGAGCGGGGAAGTCGATCTGCGGCGGCGCGAGGTGCAGCGAGAGGGCAATGTCGAGGTCGCGCTGCGAGAAGCCGGGCACGGCCTTGGTGGCGGCAATGTCCTTGAGTCGCTGCGCGTGGATCCTCTCAAGGATGGTGCCGACGGCGCCAGTGGCCGGCGGAGCGCCGTTGGGAGCAGCGGCGGTGGCGGCAGCGGCAGCAGCACCAGCACCGGCTGCGCCCATGGCTAGGACCGGCTCGGTGGTGGCCTCGGCCTGCTGGACGTCCTGTGCAGTGATGCCGGCCTGCGGGTTCTGGTCCCAGGTGCCGCCGGTCCAGCTGAGGAAGTTTGCCATCATTTCCTTTCCGCCGACGCTGAGGATGCTCTCGGGGTGGTACTGGACGGCCTCCATGGTGAAGCGCGTGTGTCGGATGCCCATGACGACGCCGCTCTCGGTCTTGCTGGTGACGACGAGCTCCTTGGGCAGGCTGGGGAGCTGGGCGGCGAGGCTGTGGTAGCGAGTGCCGGTGACGCCGTGGGCGGCGAGGCCGGCGTACATGCCCTTGCCGTCGTGGGCGATGGGCGACGTCTTGCCGTGGACAATCTCGCCGGCAAAGTCGACGATGCCGGTGTAGGCCGAGTAGATGCACTGGAGGCCCATGCAGACGCCCATGATGGGGATCTTTCCGGCAAAGTGCTTGATGCAGGGGATCGAGATGCCCGAGTCGTGAAGCGGGTGGCCGGGTCCGGGCGAAATGACAATGTTGGCGGGGTTGAGCGCCTCGATTTCGTCGATGGTGACCTTGTCGTTGCGGTAGACGACCAGATCAGCGCCCAGCTCGGCGAGAAACTAGCAGTGAAGCGATCGCAATGGTGTCAGAGGGTCAGTCGGGGACAGAATAGCCACGGGACGGTACCGCACCGGCACGGCAGCAGGAGGATCCGCAATACGCACCTGGACGACGTTGTAGGTGAAGCTGTCGTAGTTGTCGATGAAGACCGTCTTGCCCTTTGCAAGCTTTGCCTGCGTCGGTGCGGCCGCCGAGGCGCCGACGAGCGGGTTGGGAGGGATGTGCTCTGCCATGTTTGTAAATGTGCTGCAAAGAGGGGCAGAGGAAGAGAGATGGTGGAACGACGGATAAGCAAGCAGCGGGGTAGGCGGCCGCAGCGAGGCTACTCACGACGAGCGTCGGTGGTGGTGGTGGAAGTGGGACAAGACGGACGACGAGGCCAGCGAGGTGGGGGGCACATATCCGAAGCCAGTTGCCAGCGCCCCGAAGGCTGCGCTGGCCGGGCGGGGGGGAAAATGACTCGCTCGGTGCTCCGCCTTCCGAAGAAAGTCGTCGGTCAGCGGCACGCCCGCCGGGCCAGCTTGACGGAGGCGTGTTCGGGCCACTTCCCTGGATGGCCTCGACCGGTCCGAAGCCAGCGGGGCCGCCGGATTTGCTGTCGAGCTTCGGAAGCCAGCCGCCTGTCCAGTTCACCACCACCTCCCCGCCTCAGCTTCTTGAACAACACTCACTGCCCGACATGGCCACGGCAAAGATCGCCACGCTGGCCATACGCACGCTGGCCAAACCCATCGCCACGCAGCTAAAGAGCCAGGCGGCGCAGCACGAAACCTTTCGCAACGTGAGTCGACTCGACGCCGTCCGACCCCCCGTTTCGTCGCCCGACACGCCCACACGGCCGGCTGACTCGCTCCCCTCTCGTCTCCTCGTCCTGATCCGTCCCGCACCTCCATCCTTTGCGACAATCTCTCCCCCGGGCAGATCTGCATCTCGCTGGCGCAACGGATGCACCGCACCGAAATGGCGCTACGGGCCAACCTGCTCCCGACGGGCGCCACGCAAAAGGTACGGCCGCTCAACGACGCAAAGGCCATCGCCAACGGCGCCAACGCCATATCCGAGGGCTTTCTCTTCTTTGTCGCCGCCACCCTGATCCTCGGCGAGACGTACCGCGGGTCGCGGAAGAAGGCCGAACAGCGCGATCGCACCGAAGAGGAGCTGGGACGGCTAAAGGAGCAGATGAACCGCTTCGCCGTGCACATGGGCGTCGACATGGACGTCATTGAGCGACAGCTTGATGAGGAGAGGAAGAGGAAGGAGGATGGTTCGGATCCGGCCTCGGTGGCGGACGAGGAGGGCGGTGGGGAGGGCGGGACCGTGGATGAGGACGGGAGACCGGTACCCCTCTTCCCCTCTTCATCTTCCTCGCTTCGCACGAGTCAGCAACAGCCGCAGCCGCAGATGAGCCAGGAAGAAGCCAGGACGAGGCAGCTGCAGAGCGCCGTAGAGGTCCTGCTCAAATTGGCCATCAAAAACGGCTGGCTACCCGGCGACGAAGGGCTGCAGCTCGACGGCATCATGCGCGGCGAACCGGCCCCGTCGTCACCGTCCTCTCCCAACACCACTCCCGCACCACCATCACCCTCATCTTCGACCGCCACAGCATCGACACCCCCCTCAGCGTCGGCATCAGGTCCATCCTCCTCAACCCCTCCCGGCACGTCGGCGGAACAGCTCTCGTCTCCCTCGGTCATCCAGCAGGTCGCTCTGGAGCGGGCGAGGGCGCTAGCCCGGGAAGTGCGCGGCGAATCGACGACACCGCAGGTGGGCGGCCTCGAAGGTGGGCTCTCCTTCGCCTCGTCGGATCGATCTACAGCGTTGCAACAGCAGCAGCAGCAGTATGGAGGTGGAGATGGACAGCTCTCGGATCTCTATGACCTCCTCGCCAAGATTAACCGCGAGACGCCCCAGGATTCGCAAGCGTAGTCGCCGCGCCGCTCTGTCTTGTAGATGTCCGCCCCTCCTCCTGCCCCTTCGCCCCTGCATGTTGCCTGTCGCAGCATACATACACCCAACCAGCCCAGCACCACTCATACCACCCTGTCAGTGCCGCCTCGTCCAGGACGCAGGAGCCATCGACGGTCGAGCGAGGGAGTCGTGGGATGCGGTTTCCAGCCGAGTCTACCGGAGCACGTAGATCAAATACAGAGGCGGTCATCTGGGTCATCGTCAAAGATGGGGCGAATGGAAAGACGGAAGAGGGAGAAGGGCAAGGGGACAGGGGTAGAGCAGGTATAGAGCATCGACGCATAGAAGAGCGAGAGCATAGGATGGGGAGGAGGCAGCGAGGGGCGAGCCCCGCTCGTGCCGGTCCTGGACACGTGCGCATGGAAAAGAAGAGGCAGAGAGCCGAAAGCAGATAGCAAACGGCGGGCAAAGTCGTATCGATGAAGCGGGGAGATGGTCATCACGACGGCCGAGGTCGTTCCGTCGGAGCCAGCAGCGCTGCGCGTCTCCGTCTCGCGTCTGGCATCGGGACCGGAAGGGCGACATGTGGGCGGACACGCACTAGACGGAGCGAGGGCGGGTCGCGAGGCCCTCGTAGACGGCAAAGCCGAGGGCGGTGGCCGAGGCCCAGAGCTGGAGGTCGTGACCGAGGTGGTCGAGGACGTGGCCGTAGGAGAGGAAGCTGCGTGCGGCGTTGGCCAGCAGGTGGTGGCCCTCGGGAGTCTCGCCGGCGGCCACGCCCAGCACCGCCGGCGTCTGGGCACTGAGCGAGGCGAGCACGCTTCGCGGGATGACGTGCGTCAGCAGCACCAGCGCCGACACCCGCGCCAGCAGGAAGGAGAGCGCCGAGGGGTGCGACTTGCGGTCAAAGGTGACCAGATCTGGAAGGGCGCAGCAGGTCGGGAAACGAGCATCAAGCAACAATCACGGACGGACAGCAGCGGTCAGCGGGGTCCGTGCGCACTTCGAGTCCGAGACGTGACCGGACGTCTGCACTCACGAGCGACGGCGCCGGGGATGAGGACACCGTAGAGGGTCCACAGCACGACGGGCTGCCAAAAGGCGAGCGAGATGAGGCCGCGAGGGTTGGGTACGGTGAGGGCATAGTGCGGGAGGTAGCCGTTGATGCCCCTGTTTGGGTGGATGATGGGGATGGTGGGACCGCGGCTGCCGACCTCGACAAAGGTGGTGGGGAGTGCCGAGAGGACGAGGGCGATGGCCTCGAGGGCGAGGAGGACGACGACGAGGTGCCTCGAGTCGCTGAGCCAGGTGCGTACGTCGACAAAGACGTGGTATGCGCGCTTCTTTGCGTCGCGGTAGGTCTTCTTTGCGCGCTTCTGGACCTTTTCGACGGCGGCGGTGGCCTCTTGGCGTGCCTCTTGGACGTGCGGGTTGGCGGTGAGCTCGCCGGCGGCCGACTGCGCGGTGCCCGAGACGGACTCGACGAGCCTCTCGAGGGACTTTTTGGCCTTGATGCCGCTGCTGTGCACGGATGCGCCGAGGTCGGCTGCGGCTGCGGCTGCCGATGCCGATGCGGGGGTGGATGAGGGGGTGGCGAGGAGGCTGCTGGTCGAGGGGCGCTGCGAGTGCTTGCGCGGGGTCTTTGCGATGCCGGCGTGGTCGGGCGAGTCGGAGGTGTCGTCGGAGTCGATGTTTGGGTTGATGCTCGAGGAGCGTGCGGACCTGCGTCGCTTCTGCTCCTGGTCGAGGCTGTCGATGAGACCCTTGAAGTTTTGGTCGTTTGCGTAGGTATGCTTGTTCTGGATGAGGTGCTCGCGGACGAGTTCCTCGAGGTCCTCTCTGCGGAACGAGTTTGGGTTGGGGTGGAGGTCGAGTGCGGTGGCAATGTCGACAATGTCCGACTTGCGCTTGTAGCGCAGCGAGCCCTTGTAGGGGGTCATGGCAGGGCGAGTGAGGGGGCGGATGGATGGACTGATGGACTGATGGACTGATGGACTGATGGACTGATGGATGGAGTGAGAAGACGTCGAGGGCGAAACGGATGCGTGTGGACCGAGGAGGTGGAGGAAGGGAAGCAAGCCGGACGGGATTCGGATAGCGGCGAGGGGGGGCCGACAGTCAGGGGCTGCCGGATGGATTGGATGGATGGATGGAGGGAGGGAGGGAGATGAATGAGCGAGGTCAAGGAGGCGGGTGGATGGATGGATGGCGCCGCAAAAGGAAAGAGGAAAGAGGAGCTGGATGGCGTCGGGGCCCGCCAGCGCCGTTGTTGCTTGCCTGCCTGGCCCTGTGTTCCCACGTCGTCGTCGGGTGGGGTAGGCTAAGGGTAGGGCAGGGCAGGGCAGGGTAGGGCAGCTGTGCGTCGCGCCGTGTGTGGAGAAGCCTGCCTACCTTGGTGCTCCCTCGAGCCCTCCCGATACGCACAGGCGGGCCAGCCAGCGCGACGTGACGCAACACAACACCGGATCCGAGCATCGTTGGCCAAGGCCCCTCTACGCCAGAGCCTGCCAAGTGCCAACGCCAAAAATTCCAACAGAGAGTGGGGCCGCTCCCTCCACAGAGTGCGTAGCACGCAGAGCCACACCGACCACCACCAACTACCACCGACGCCTATCAAACAGACTACCACCGACACAGCGCCAACTCCCACCACCTCCTCCTCCTCCCCCTGGAACTGCCGCCATGTCGCAGACGCTCACCCTCCACCCGGTGACGTCGTTCAACTTTACCACAAAGGGCGCACAGCAGGAAGAGGACCCCTCGGTCGTCGCACGCCTCCAGCGCCTCAAGAACCAGTACGAAGACTTTGGCATGCGCCGCAGCGTAGAGGCCGTACTCGTCGTGCACGAACACGGACACCCGCACGTACTCATGCTCCAGATCGCAAACGCCTTTTTCAAGCTGTGAGTCCGGGTCCGCACTCCTCGCTTCCCAAACGACGCCGCAGACTGACCTCGGCGATGCCCCCCCTTCTCCCCTTCTTCCCTTCTCGATCCCCTTGACCCACCCTGCCATCGCGCCCGCAAGACCGGGAGACTACCTCAAGCCGGGTGAGGACGAGGTAGAGGGGCTCAAGGCGCGCCTCGACGAACGGCTAGCGCCCGTCGCCAGCGATCCAGCATCACTCGGCCCCAACGGCGCAGGAAAGGACCAGGAGGACGGCGAGTGGGAGATTGGCGACTGCCTCGCACAGTGGTGGAGGCCCGCTTTTGAGACGTTCCAGGTACGTTGCTGCCGTGACCGTAACCCCTCCCCCCTGCAGACTCCCTTAGCTTGCCCCTTTGCTCTCGTGCCCCTAGGCCGCGAATCGCCCCGCTGACGATCCCGGGCCTTTTTCCGCTTGGCCGCTCCCGACGTCGAACAGTACCCATACGTACCAACGCACATTACGAAACCAAAGGAATGCAAAAAGCTCTTTCTCGTCCAGGTCCCACCAGGCAGTACGTCCAACTGCCTCGTCCTCCTTGCTCCATCATCGACCTATCGACTGACACGAGCTCTGCCACCCTCTCCTCTTCACCACCGTACTGTCTTCCTCCCCGCTCACCCTGCTGGTTGGCGGAACCGCGTAGAGGTGCTGGCGGTACCACAAAACATGAAGCTGCTCGCCGTGCCCCTCTACGAGCTGTACGACAACTCGGCGCGCTACGGATCCCAGCTCGCCGCATTACCCCATCTCCTCTCGCGCTACAACTTCATCTACTCGGATTGAGGGTCGCAGTCCAAGTCAAAGTCGAATATAGAACTCTGCCCAACTCAGCCTGATGCGGGCACGCATGGCCCTTGCTGCGTGGAGACGCCGTGGTGCGATGAAAAGGTCCAGGTGACGCTTTGGTGATGACGATGGTGTTGCTCAAGTTGAACGACGGCGGATGCTCGGTCGATCGAGGTGGGCTAGGGGAGACGTGCACTTTCATTCAGCCATCGCTGCTGCAAGAGGCGCGGGCGCGTCGGGCCGTGTGGTTTCGCCATCCAGCCCCCTTTTCCCCGTGCCCTTCTTCCTCGCTCTGCTTGGGTATGCGTCCGCCACCTATGCTCCTTGGCTCACCAGCCACGCTGGGCCCCGCTTCCTTCGGCCTCGAAGCAACGACAAACGACCAGCCAAACGCCTCGCTTCGACAACGACAAGGCTGACGACAACGACGACGACGACGACGACGACGAGAAAAAGATTACACGATCGCCGTCAGTGGACGTCGCAATGGGTCGGTTGGATGATGATTGTCGTCGACGGAGACGAGGTGGACAAAATGCTGATTGAGTACTGTTACATGCGATGATGAGGTAAGGAGACGGAGACGGTGGTTAGAGAGAGAGAGCGGGGGGCGAAGGAGGAACAAACACAACAACAAGGATGGGGGGAAAGGAGGCGACCTATCGACAGAGGAAGCGAAAAAGATTTGGTCGAGCGGGTGCCACGACAAGGTGTGCGACCAGGGCTGAAAGCGGCGCGAAGCGTGTGCTCCGGCGCCTCGAGTCCTGGTGGACCGGTGGCGAGGAGGGCGACGCGAAGAGTGGTTCGCGCATCCCCTGGCCTGTGTGGATGCTTCGATGGTGTTACAGAGGCGGAAGCGTGGCGATTAGAGGTCGAAGGCAGTGCCCAGTGCCCTGACGTGTTTGCGGTGCCATCGTTTTGGTTTTGTCGAGAAGAGGAATGGGCCAGGAGCGCGCCACGAGTCGACGCCGACGGCCTCGGTCGGCTGCGACAATCGAGGTCTCGATCGCGTCGGGCGCTCCAAAAGGTATCGTCCTGTGTTGATGCGGTCGACGAACAGGTCCGAGCTCGCGATCGCTTGCACGCCATGACGGCGGCGTAGACGGCGGGGCGAGAAAGGCGTGGTCCTGTCGACTGGCTCCGGTCGGCCGAGATCCTGCGTCGAAAGAGGCAACGAAGCCCTCGAAGCGGAGGATGGTCTTGGCGTTGACGTGCGGAGAAGTGATGGCGGTGGTGGTGTGAATGCTGCTGATCTGCTGTTGCTGTGGGTGCTGGAGGCGAAGAAGCGCCAGCGGTAGTGGTGGTAGCGGTGACGGCGGATCGCCCCGTTCAAGGCTTGCGGAACTCGGCCAACACCGGGAGGATCAAGTTGAAGGCCTGATAGATCTCCTCGCGGACCTTGGCGCCGGTAAGGACAATCTTGCCCGACACAAAGATGAGCAGGACGACCTTGGGCTTGACCATGCGGTAGATGAGGCCAGGGAAGAGCTCCGGCTCGTACGACGAGTAGACACCGTGGCTGTAGGCGAGGCCCTCGAGGCGGATGGGGAAGCGGACGTCGCAGGAGCCGACGATGTTCTGGATCTTGAACTCGCTGAACTTGGCCTCGAAGCCGAGCTTCTGGATGATCCGCGCATACTTGCGGCTCGCGAGTCGGCTGTCGTCCTCCGACTTGGCGCCCGTGACGACCATCTTGCCGGAGGCGAAGATGAGTGCCGTCGTCTTGGGCTCACGGATACGCATAATGACGGCAGCGAATCGCTACAGGCGGCGAGAGGCGACGAGCACGAGATTAGGGGGGAAGAGGGAGGTTAGCCAAAGTCGCCTCGACGCCAAAGCCGACCCATGGTGGTCGCGACGGCAACGAGGCAAGGTGCTCGATGGATGATGCCGTACCTTTGGGTTGTACTCGGCGTTTCGCGCGTGCAGAGCGATCGTCTTCAAGTCGAGGCGGACCTCGAGGTTCACGGTCGCCACAATGTTCCTAGAGGGGCGGCGGCGAGAGAGGGGTTGGAGGATGGACGTTCGTTCATCAAGCTCCTCCAAAATCTCGATACCTCGTGCGCAGGAACATGGACAGGATCGGATCGAAAGGACGGAGCCCGTGGAAAGGGTGGGGCAGGGGTGGCCCCACGGAGAAGATAGAATTACAAGGCGAGAAGAGGCATGACACCATTGACACTTACTGCAACGTCGGAACAATGCCGTGGACGCTCGACAAGCCCTGCTCCGTCGCCGCAGCACTTGCGTCCTTGCCGCCGGCGCCGACCTCCTGCTTCTTGTCCTCTGCGCTGCCGCTGCCGTTGCCGTGAGCATTGTTGCCGTTGCCAGCGTTCCCCATGGCAGTCGGAGAGCCGGCGGTGCCGGATCCGGGCAGAGCGACGCCTCCGAAAGCCATGTCTGCGGGTTTCGTGGGTAAAGCGGCGACGAACGAGGGCGGGGTGAGGACGCGAGAGAAGATAGAAGAGGAGCAGACGCCCGAAAAAAAAGACAGCGGGGGAGATGGTGGTGCGGATGAAAGGGGCGAATTTCGAAATTTGAGGCGCGGGGGTGGCCCCCTTTATATACTTTTGGCCAGGCCCTCTGCCCGGGCGCCCACCCTGGCCGCTCCACCTCAGCCTGCAGGCGCGCGCGCGTCCCCCCCTCCTCTGTCTTTTCGCCTGTCACCCAATCGCCGAGGCGGAATCGCAGAGAAGAGGGCAGAGTTTTTTCACGCTGGCCGGCCGCCCGGCAGGCCTGTCTGCCAGGTTCAGATCCAAACACGCACACTCGCCTGGCCTGGCCAGGCCTGCCTCCGCGCGCGCGCCTTTAGGCCAGGAGCCGGGCCCCAGCTGCCAGCCTGGCACTCAGCCCGTCAACCGGCCAGCCCGCCAGCCCCCGCCCCTACGCCGCTTAGAGGCAGGGCGGCCTTGCCTGCCTGTCAGCACCAGACCGGGCAGACTGGGCAGACTGGGCGGCTCGTCGCGTCGCGATCCCCCCTCGACCAACGCCGCCGTCGACGACCGCTCTCTCAATCGCTTGATCGCTCCAGCTTGTCCTCGACGATGTCCGCGCAGCGTCGCTGGAAGGGGTTTAGGTGCAAAAGGATCGAGAAGCATCGAGTAGCACGACCAAGACACCCGCACCCAAGGATCTAGAATCACGGGCCGGCCGATTCCAGAGGCCACCTCGAGCTATCGAGCCCATGGTCAAGCAAAGCACCTCTCAGACGACGAAGATCTGCGCAGCTGAGCGATGCAGGCTGACCTCTCAACATCTCTCGGTGACGAGAGACAATGGCCCGGAGCGTGTGGCGGAGGCCCCTGCCGTGCGTGAATGGATGTGGGATGGCAAGGTCAAGGCTCAAGGTCCAAGCTCGGTCGGAGCCTCGTACCGTTCAAATGAGCCGGAACGAGGTGATTGTTGGGGCACGCAAGAGGCTGGCGAAAGCACTGCTGGCACCGAAGCAAGGTCGCAGCGGAAGGAAAGCCAAGCTGAGGTTGTGGTCGCGGGACCGAGCGCTCGGTCGCCAGTAAGATCATTGATTCTTTCATCCTCGCCGCATTTCACGAGGCCTCTGAGCATGTCATCGACCGGCGGGCGTGTCGATGGCTGGACGATGGCAGAGCCGGCACGCTCCGGAGCAGCTCTCGTTCGCGCGTGTTGGATGTCATTCCTGGCCCCCGCGCGTGTCAAGCCCGCTGCTCTACCAGGCCTGTCGCGGCGGGTTCACAAGGTTGCGAGTCGAAGTGGTGATGGACATCTCGACGCGACCCTGCAAGCTGTCGAGGGCATTGAGAGAGAGTCGAAGGATCGGTGATGATGACGACCAGCTCAGCAGGCCGTGCGAAGTTCGGATGGCGGCGGCGGCGACGGTGGCGAGTTGGACCGGACGTGAGGACGAAAGGCGATGATACGAGAGCAGAGGAGGGACTGACTAGCAAGGTGGCTCGAGATTCATGTAGGGCAAGGCGAGAGCACGAGGGGGAGAGGTCGAGGAGAGGTCGAGGAGGTGGTAGTGGACCCTGGGCGGGCAGGATAGCCCATCGTCTTGTCGCGCGATAGAGACGGACACCCCTGGCCTGCTGATCGAGTGCGGCAGAAGCCAGAGAAAGAAGAAAGCGCGCGGCGCCAGGCCAGGCCGAGGAAGAAAGCAAAGAGGCCAGCGCTCTGGCCAGGCAGCAGGGTCAGGCAGGGCCAACAAGGCCGCCCAGCATACGCGCGCAAGCCCAACAGGCAGTTGAGCCCAGGCAAAGAGAGAGAGAGAGAGCAAGACGCACACCAACACCACCAGCCACGCCCTTTCTCTCCCGGCTGCTCTCACACACCTCGGACTCAGCTCAGCGTGGCGCAGTGTACTCATCCTCATCGGCAGCACACCACCGACCGACACAAACCACTCTCTGACGCTCTCGCTCTTGCTGTGCAAGATCCCGAACAGCGCAGCTGAGCTTCTGCCTCTACACCAACTCAGGCAGACCAGCAGCACGACGACACCGCCTCGACCCGTCCCGTCGCCCCACCTCGCCACCTCTCCTCCAACATGTCGGCCATCGAGCTCATCAACCCAAGGGCCGAGTCGGTCCGCCGCACCCAGGCGCTCCAGGTCAACACGGCAGGTGCCATCGGCCTCGCCCAGGTCGTCAAGTCCAACCTCGGGCCCCGCGGCACCATCAAGATGCTTGTCGACGGCTCCGGCAACCTCAAGATGACAAAAGACGGCAAGGTCCTCCTCACAGAGATGCAGATCCAGAACCCCACCGCCGCCATGATTGCCCGCACCGCCGTCGCCCAGGACGAGCAGTGCGGAGACGGCACCACCAGCGTCGTCCTTCTCGTCGGCGAGCTGCTCAAGCAGGCGGAGCGCTACATTCAGGAGGGCGTCCACCCCAGGGTCATCAGCGAGGGCTTTGAAGTCGCAAAGGCCGGCACGCTCAAGTTCCTCGAGAGCTTCAAAAAGTCGCCCGAGCTCGACCGCTCGCTGCTTGTCTCGGTCGCCAACACGTCGCTCTCGACCAAGCTCCACGCCAAGCTCGCAGCGCAGCTGGCCGCCGACGTCGTCGACGCCGTCCTCGCCGTCAAGCCAGCCACCACGTCGTCGATCCAGCCCCCAGCACCCGCCGCCGACGGCAGCAGCGAGAGCGTGGCCGAGTGGCAGATCAAGGACCCCATCGACCTGCACATGGTCGAGATCATGAAGATGCAGCACAAGACCGACACCGACACCCAGCTGGTGCGCGGCCTGGTCATGGACCACGGCGCCCGCCACGCCGACATGCCGAAGCGGGTGGAGAACGCCTTTGTGCTCACGCTCAACGTCAGCCTCGAGTACGAAAAGACCGAGGTCAACTCGGGCTTCTTCTACTCGAGCGCCGAGCAGCGCGAGAAGCTGGTCGAGAGCGAGCGCCGCTTCGTCGATGCGCGGCTCAAGAAGATTGTCGAGCTCAAGCAGGCGGTGTGCGATGCGCCGACCGAGGGGTCGGCCAACGAGAAGCCCAAGAACTTTGTCATTTTCAACCAAAAGGGCATCGACCCGATGTCGCTCGACATCCTCGCCAAGAACGGCATCCTGGCGCTGCGACGGGCCAAGCGGAGGAACATGGAGCGGCTGCAGCTGTGCTGCGGCGGCGTTGCGCAGAACTCGGTCGACGACCTGACGCCCGACGTGCTCGGCTACGCGGGCCTCGTCTACGAGCACACGCTGGGCGAGGAAAAGTACACGTTTGTCGAAGAGTGCCGCGACCCGAAGAGCGTCACGATCCTCATCAAGGGACCCAACCAGCACACCATTACCCAGATCCAGGACGCGGTGCGCGACGGCCTGCGCAGCGTCAAGAACGCCATCGAGGACACCACGTTGATCCCGGGCGCGGGAGCGTTTGAGGTGTCGGCGGCCGAGCACCTGGTCAGCGAGACCAAGCGGCTGGCAAAGGGGCGGGCCAAGCTGGGCGTGCAGGCGTTTGCGGACGCGCTCCTCGTCATCCCCAAGACGCTGGCGTCCAACTCGGGCCTCGACGTGCAGGACGCCATCGTGGCGCTCCAGGACGAGGCGAGCGAGGGCCACATCGTCGGCCTCGACGTGCAGACCGGCGAGCCCATGGACCCCACCACCGCTGGCGTATGGGACAACTACCGCGTCAAGCGCCACATGATCCACAGCAGCGCCGTCATCGCCACCAACCTGCTCTCGGTCGACGAGATCCTGCGCGCCGGTCGGAGCTCGTTGAAGAGCGAGGGCCCCATGGGCTAGAAATAGGGGGCGGAGACCGCACCAATTCGGCCGCAAGACAGACGGGAGTGACCGAAGGAGAACTCTGTCCCTCCGGCCCTGGTCGCAATCTCGAGTCTCGATCCGCATGTACACGAGCGCCTATGGATGAGGAAGTGAAGACCCACCCACGCACGATTGTCACACCGCCCGCCTGCCTCGCCTGCCGACCGACTCTACGACCGCAGCCCTCTCTCTATAACGTCTTTTCATGACGCCAACTACCTTGCTACTGTACACCGGCGCTACTCGTCGACGAAATGCGTCTCCAGTGCGCCCCGGACGGCCTCGTAGGTGAGGAAGCTGGTACCGATGCTGGGGGCGACCTTGAGGAGGTTGGGCAGGAGACCGCGGTAGAGGCCGCGGAGGCCCTCGGCGCGGACAATGTTGCGTATGCAGTCGATGGCGTTCTTGTCGTTGTACCCGAGCTTCGAGTCCTTCATGCCGGCCACCTGCATCCGGCGCCGCAGCACGTCGAGCGGGTAGGTGAGCGTCTGCGAGATGCTCCCCGCCAGCGCGCCGCACGCCAGCTTGGCCAGCGCCGAAGGTCCGCTGCCGTCGCTCGGCGTCAGGCGTTTGCGTGCTGCTTCGTAAAAGACGAAGTTGAGGGCCACGTAGGGTGCCACACCCTGTTGGCATCGCAGGTTGAGGTACAGTCGAGGAGGGTGGGGGTGTCAGCGATCCGGTGTCCCTGTTCTCATTCTCTCTGGCCCGTAAACGGCATCGGCCGTCTACAACTCACGACACTCGTCGGCACGCAGCCCCGGTACAGGCCGCGCATGCCGCCCTCCTCGCGGTAGACCTTGACCGTCATGGCCCAGATGCCGGGCACCTGGGTCTGCTTTTCGGCAATCTTGCGGCGCAGCGCCTCCTGCGAAATCTTGCCAGACGACGTGGCCGCGGCCGACTGTGCCTCGCTGTACATGGACGCCGATGCGATCGAGATGCGCGAACGCACCAGGTCCAGAGGGTACGTCGAAACCACCGAGGCGATGCCCGCCACCGCACCGGCCGTCAGCCGCCGGAAGACGTCTAGCTCGCCCTCGGCATCGCGGAGCCACTGCAGGCGGTCGAGGCGGAGTCGGGCGGATGGCAAGGGAGATCGGGAAAATGTCGGTCAGTCAGGGTCCACGAGCGGCCCCATTATGCTGCGATGGGTCCAAAGCGACACCTGCTTGGGCACTCACGGTCTTGGCCATCTCGTAGGTGGTGAACTGGACCGCGCTGTAGGGTGCGATGCGGAGGCAGTTGATGCCGTTGCCGCGCATGAAGCCCGCAAAGCCCTCCTCCTTCCACATCTTGACCAGGCCCGTCCAGACACCCGAGTAGGCGCCCTTGCCCCGGGCTGCCGCGCCGCCGCCCTGGCCGCCGCTGCCCGAGGCGTCCAGAGGCTGGACCTGCATAATGATTTTGAGCCTCTCGAGTGGGCTGACGACGGTCCTGCTCGTCGCGCCCGCTGCGCCGCCGGCTATGAAGTACGACACGAGGAACGCCGAGCTCGTCGCTTGCTGCTGTTGCTGCTGCTGCTGTTGCTGCTGCTGCTGGACTTCGTCATGCCGGACCGCCGGGGTGAGCTGCACAGCGAGGCCGTTGGCTCTGCTGGACGACGACTCGGCCTCCATGCCCAGCTCGCCTTCGAGCTTGCGGTTAGGTCCGAGGTTGGAAATGACGCGGGCGCGTTGCTGACGTACGGCATCCATCCTCTCGGCGTCTCTCGATCTCGAGGGGACGGCAGACGGAGAGTCGGCTATTAAAGGCGGCTTGCTGCCCTCTTCGTCGCTGCTGTTGTCGGGCGAAGAGACTGGGGAGGCCGTGGCACGGCGGATCCTGTGCCGGAGCGTCTGGAAGTGCCTGGTAGCCCGCTGCGGCAGCGACTCGGAGAGGGTGGTGGTGGCGGCGGACGACGAGGCCGAGGTGCCAAAGAAGCTCTCGAGTGTCGAGCTGGACGAGGAAGCCTGCGGAGAGGCCGAGTATAGATGTGACTGCGGAGAGGAGGACTGAAAGCCGTCGTTCGTCATTGTGCCGGTATGAACAGGGATCTTGTGCGGTTGATATGCAGATTAAGCTGTACGTGGGAAGGGATTCGATGCAAAGCTGGAGCCGGTGCCATGAGCAGGATGTACGGTTGCTTGGTTGTGATTGACGACGACGAGGATCTCTAGGGATGGTCCATTCTGAAGGTGGCTCCTGGTCCGTATGGGAGTATCAGGGCCCAGCGGGGGAAAAGCGGAGCAAGCGGCGGGAGAGCAAGCGAGGGGGCGTCGCTAGAGATGGCGATCGTAGGGGTGGGATATTGTGGTGATGGTCGTGGTGGTGGTGGTGTGGAGCGATAGGGCCAACGGCTGTCTACCCGACGACGGCAGGCGACGGCAAGAGTGCGGGGAAGCGGCGCAGAGGTTGCGTGAAAGGGGCAGAGCCAGAGTAGAGTGACGAGCGGAGGGGTCGAGGCAGATGATGAGGCGGACGAGGGCAGAGGGACGAGGGGAGGCGGGTGTGAACCGGGTGGGCGGGCAGGCGGGCAGGCGGGCAAGACAGGCGGGCAAAAGTGGAGTCAGTCGGAAGGGCCCCCCGTCTTCCAAGCCAAGCAAGCGGGCCCGCTCCGGGCTCGTCACCAGCCCTGTCTGGCCGGCACAACCGAGGGCGGCGGCGGCGGCCCACTGGCGGGTCACTTCGGGCGCCGGTGGATCGGCGGCCAATTTCTCCCCGCCAACGCAGCCAGGCCCCAGAGTGGTAGTCTGGCCTGGGCTCGCATCCCGGGATCGGCCGCGTCCCGGTCGGGCCAGCCCAGGCCAGACCGCACCTCGCCGCTTGGCCCAGTTTGCCGCTCTGATCTCTACATCCCCGCCCCAGAGCTGCAACAGTTCCGCCTCGTCACGATGTCGAGCAATAAGAGAGTCGTGAGCATACATCATGCATGGTCGCTTCCATCCTGCACTCGCCACGGCGACAGCAGGGGATGGGCTTGCCGTTCGCGCTGCGAGGCGCACACACGCAGAGGGAGCAAGCAAGCGAAAGGCAAGAGGCGGGGGGTCCCCGCACCCGCCCAAGCGCACCGGTCCGCCCCGTACCGGTGCATCTCACGCGCCAAAAAGGGAAATCGACAGACCATGGCAGCCACGCCGGCCATCGACCGATCCCGACAACATCGAGCCACCTCCTACGGGCTGTCCATACCGCAGCAACGGTTCGCCGCACACGACACACAATCGGCATCGTCCCCTCGTGCCCCTCGACCTTCGAGTAGTGCAATGTTCAATGCTCCTCTATCAACGAGCGGGATGGCGAGAGGGGCCTACATGCGGTCTCCAGCACTGAGGAGCTGACAGCAGTCGCAACGACATCCTCGGGGTCGTCGCTTTTCTCTTCTGAGGGAGCTTCAGCGCCTACTGCGAGTTCTCCTGCTCGGCGGTGGTGGCAAACTCGAACTGCATGGCGGGTGGAAAGGTCGGCAGAGGAGGATCGGAGAGACGGGTCACACAGGGTCAGGCGGGCCATTCACAATGCTGCTGCGAACACGGGATAAGAACGACGAGCGGTCTACTCACAGGTCGGCCGCCCTCGAGCTTGGTCTCAAACGCCTTGAAGTTCTCCTGCGGCACGCCGAGCTCGAGCAGCTTGGCGTAGGCGGAGCGGAAGTCCTTGAAGAACTCGTCCTCGCTCTTGGCGTAGCGCTGCACGTGCTGCTTGAACGAAGGGTCCTGGGTGAGGGCCATGTCGGTCATGAGCATCATCAGGCTCTTTGTCGACTTGTCCTCAAACTGCGGCGGGCCGTTCCACTTCCGCATGTTCCACTTCTCATTGACCAGCAGGTTGAAGTACTCGTTGGTGAACGAGATGGGCGAGTGCGTCCACGGTCCGTCAAAGCCCGAGCGGTCCTTGTGGCATCGGCCGAGGGCGTGGGCGCCCGAGAGCGCGACAATCTCCTGGTCGTTGAAGCCCATCTTGTAGAAGATGTAGCGGAGGTGGTCGGAGCCCTTGTCGCCGTCGGGCAGGCGGCCGTCGGGCGTGCACTGCTCGGCAGTACCGTCCTTGCGTCCGGGCCTCCAGGGGATCTTGGGGCCGCCGAGCTCCTGGACGGCAGCGACACCGCCGAGCGTCCAGAGGTCCGAGTAGGTGATCCAGGGGAACTGCTTGTGGATGTCCTCCATAAAGTTGCGGGCGTGGATCAGGCCGGCGTTGGCACCATGGTTGGCCTCGGGGGCGAAGCGCATCGTCGCTGTGTGGGTGCGCGAGGTGGGAGGGACAGAGCGACGGAGGCCATCGCAGATCAGCATCGCCGCCCAAGAGGCGACACTCGTTCGTAATCCATGACGGCCCGTCAAACGGTCGATACTCACCTCCGTTGCTTCCTCCGGTGTTGGTGTTCTTGTCGTAAGTGCCGGAGGCGTGCCACGCCAGACGGACGAGGACGGGGCCGTAGCTGCCGTCATCGTAGTCGGGGTTCGACTCGAGCTTCTCAGCAATGGCGTTGTAGACGGCCTGGTAGTCGCCCTCGGAGGCACGCCCGCCAGTCTGGCCCTTGTTCGACTCGCGGATCTCCTTGCTACGGTCCTTGGAGCCAGAGAGCTTGTTGGCGCCGTCGGCGCCGACGCCGAGGATGTCCTTCTTGTCCTCGCGGCCAAAGGCGAGGAAGGCACCACCGGCGGCGACGGCGGCGGCGACCGAGGCGAAGAGGACGGTGCGGGTCGAGCCGCTCTGCGAAGGGTTGGGCGGCGGGGGGGAGCCGGGCGCGGGACTGCTGTAGTGGCGGACGGCCGAGTCGGACCGCCGCGGTCGGCGG